TTCACGGGTCAGAGTCAGAGTCTGATCTACTTTATGACTGGCGGTTTACAGCCAGTCAGTTCAACTGGTCGCCGAGCCTCTTGAGATTCACGACCAGAATTTTATTTAACTGAACTCTTGCGGTTATACTCCTTATGTAACATCTCCGACGAGAGAATGGGTTTGTGTCCTATGAAGAGATTCGGCCTTTGTTAAATGTACATATCGCACATTTAACGTGATTTCGAGGGGATTTTTCTTTTTACATTACGTACAAGTCTTTTGTCGGACTAGGTTTTGCCAGACAGATCATGCCTACCTCATTTAGCTTATATCAGAGCGGCAGCTTAGTCACTTGAACGGTCGTATGCTTGATCGCCGCCAAGTTTAAGCCTTTTAGATTTTCTTTGTCTGGATTCGCCTTGTCCTATACCGCGAAAATGTTCATTCTCATGATTTTGTATGACTTCTGCATGTTGCCTGCACGGTTTTATTACATAATCATATATATACGGAAGGTTGAAAGTCGTGTGTAAATCGCGGACCGGAGTGCACCTTGGAAAATTTCCAATGGTGCGGAGAACTTTGTTTTGCAGGCGCTGCAATTTGAAAAGGTGAGTATCTGCGACAAATTCCCAGGCGGGACAAGCATATGTCATTGCTGATATAATCAACGCTTTAAGTAGCGTTGGTGTAAAGATATGGCTTATACGCTCCGTCGTATACATGCGAGTGTCATCGGCAAAGAGAGCGAAATAAACACCTGGAATAAGGAAGGTATCATTTATATACAGATTATACAACATGGGGGATAGGATGGAAACTCTTGGCAACCCTACTTGTATTTCTTTGGGTGTAGAGATTTTGCCTTCGACCGAAACTTTTACTTTTCTCTCGGAAAGAAGGGAGCTGATCAGTTTAATTATATTAGTCGAACACTTTAATTTATGTGACTTGTACAACAAATCAGAGTCCTATGTAGTATCAATAGCTTTTTCGATATCCAAGAGTACCGCAGTCGTTCAAGTTTAAGGTCACGTGGTCCGTAAGCCTCATGCATTATAGTGCTGTGATCTGATATGCACGGGAACCAAACTGACTTGCTTAAGCAGGTCTCTTTCTTGGATGTGTCCTTAGACTATTTTTAGAATGGCTTTCTCGAAAAGTTTGTCTGTAGTGGACAGGCGCCTAGGTTTGAAATGTTAATCCGGTGGTCAGAGGTTGGAATAGGCATTATCTTAGTTACAGCATATTCCACTTTATGTGGTCTGTTTTGTACCATGCACTGTAGTGTTGATCTACCAAATCAAAAAGTGTAATTTAATGATTCTTCCACCTCAAGGAATCTGAAAATATGTAAATTAACTAAATGGAATTATTACTGAATTCAATTAAATAATTAATATATATATATATATANTGTTCCCCACTTGTATCCTCAGGAGCGGTTTCAAAGGGTAACATGAAAAAAGGAATTTCTGGAAGAAGTAATTCAGTCACCACTAATAACTTGAAGGATAAAATATTAATAAAGACCTCCAACAGAAATTAATAGTGTAGCAACGAAAGCGAAAGAATACGAAAACAACGACCAGCAATATCTACACGAATAAGATAAAGTTAGTGGAAGAACTGAAACTCCGGACGCATGTTTCTTGTCACCCCCCCCCTCCAATAATGAAACAGCTGTCCCCTGGATCAAATTTTGACTTCAGAATAGAAGTGCAGCAGAGCCTTCTCAGAAAATTGTTTCCATCTCAGTCTAAGGTCTGGGAAGCCAATCATCAGTTCAAAAACTACCTTCTCCGCATTCATCAGTATCGGCACGAAGGCGTTTAATAATTATACTTATTTTCAAATCAATGGAAAAAGAATCGAACTTTTAAAGGGAACGTAGTTCATTTTACACACAACAATAAAGTTCCGTCAGCAATGCAACTTTTTTATTCGTCCCCTTTCCCTTTTACAACGCGCTTCGACCCCAACCGGCCATCATCAGGAACCTTAATTTTCGAAAATTGTTATGCTGTATTGAATGCCATTCATTCACTTCACATGTAACGCACGTTCCTGCAGCAACGAATAGACGAATATGACCATTGCTAGGCAACGGATCGGTAAGCACTTTTCCATGTCAATAAATAATAACATAGGAACTATAACACATGGTGACATATTCGGTTCGTCCCTAAGTTATAAAAGAGTTGGTTCAGTTCATTCTAGAGTGTGAGCAGTGAGCCGTCGTTAAGCATTCGTCATTCATAAGAAAGTTGAGTGTTCAGATGTGGAGTGCTAACCAGCAGACAGCAGAAGCCGAAGAAGTGACCGATTGATAAATCAGAACCGAGTCAGTCACAGTGCAAGAGAAGAGACTCGTTGTGTGGTAAGGAATGGAGCGAGTCTCAAGCAATCATCGATTGAGAGCAGTTATAATTGGTTGTAATTGTAGTACTAGAAGTGCCAATAACTCCAGTCATCCAACCCAGAACCCGTTACATTAGTCACGCAAACCCTTCATACGTGACACTACGTTCAACTTTTGGTTAGAATAGGACAACAAGAGCAGACACATTTACGTGTACATTATAACCTATATGCGTTTCTGGGCGCATTTCAAGCGTAACTCCCTATAACTCGTTATGTATTTATCAAAGCATTTTTTTTTTTCAAAAACGCAGCAGACAATCATGAAACACATTTTGTTTCCATTATAATTCTTCTATAAACCTTACCGATTTCGTGGCAATTAAATAAAAGATAAATACGCCAGAACTGCTACGCTATTCGTATATTTCCTAATTTGTTTGCCTCCTAGAGCGTGTGGCTCGAGTCGGCGGCTCGTCGTCAGTGACCTAGAGCAGTAACGATATCGCATCACAGTCGAATAACCAACTACTTTGCGCTATAATTACGTTGATACGTGAACAGCGTAGCTGAAGGAGTACAGAGTACAACTACTACTATAGTCCGTGTTGTGAGTAAAGGACGACACATCTTCAGAGGGCAGCCATATAATTATTACCAAAATGTGGACAAAAAATTAAACTCTTAACCAAATATTAGCATGATGATCAAATCAAAGTGGATGAGATTGACACGACATGCAGCACGCATGGGTGAAATCATAAATTCATACAAACTTTTACTCACAAAATCTGAAGTAGGCTACTTAATGGACTTAGACAGTAGAATAGATCTTAAACAAATAGGATGTGAGAGTTTCGATTGAATTCAAATGGCTCAGGACAGAGTCAAATGGCAGGATCTCGTGAACACAGTAATGACCTTTTTACTGCATAAAACCTGGGATTTTCTTGATCAGTTGTGCGACTATCCTTCCTCATGGACCCCGATGTACCGATGCACCTAAGTGCTCTGCAGACTACTATGCATTATGGTGCGAAACTGCACGTTTTCCCCAAGTGTTACTAATTTACCATCTTCATAAACCACGCCAGATTAGGCTTCAACCCTCTCGGTGTTTTCTCTGCCTCCTCTTCGGGCACTATGGATTTCGTTGCCTGAGTGGTTTGTATTCCGCACTTGCTTTGGTATTCTGTATATGTGCTGCATATGGCAAAGATAAGATTTGAAACATTTAACTTACTTTTTCTGTTGTCTGTACTTCGCCGGTGGTCTAATCTTGTAATACCAAGCAAAGGTGGTAGACGTCTCATATGTGCTACTTCCAGTCTTTCGGCGATTCTTTTAAAATACGCACGAAAGCTTTCTTAACATATTATAAAGTTACTTTTTCTGATAACGTCCGTCGGCCGAAATTTATCTCGATTTCTATTGATTTAAAAATATCGTAGTTAACGAATGATCTACGCGAAGCTGTCACAGAATATGTCTGACCTCAATATGTTGCTGTTGGAAGCAGTTTATTATTAGCAGCCCAAAACAAGCGGCATTGAGATTGGTCAAGACCTCCTCACTCTCTCTTCCCACGGCTACACATTCCGTCATCGAATGTCTAACCCCCCCCCCAAGAATATCAAGCATCACCACAAACTTTTCAGCAAGCAGTGCATTTTATCTCATACTTGCCGAAGCACATTTTGGATAACACAGGTTTCTTATACCTATTGCAAGTGTTTATAAACCGCATCCAATCAAAAGTATGGTCCTATTCCATCAGCCAACCGAATTCTCGCGCCAATGTCCTAGTGCATAGCAGCAAGAGTATCCAGGCCATTGGCCTCAGTTGAGGGTGATCGGTGGTTTCTCACTATCTCCACGTGCAGACAGCACAACTCACAGTGGGTCATTGTCCACTAGATCTTTTGTCTCAAACAAGCAGTTAACAAAAACCTGTGAACCGAGCAGTTTCTAAATATAAGACTTACATGTGATCATCGTGTTGATCATATGTGCATTAGCACACATCATTTTTCTATGCTTACTAATTCTCACTGCAGTCCTAAAAATAACTCACCTAAAACTGACAGATGTTTGAAACGTTATCACAGTTTTACGTAAACACATGTCGGTGCCTATCTAAGTCCATGTACCAGTTTCTATTTACATAAAATTTTAAATCATAATCGTAGTATATAACTACTTACTTTGAATACCCTCGCAATATCAATCGAAACAAAGCTGACAGCATTAGAATTATGAGATACACCAATTAAATAATTAGAAAGATTATGTAAAGCTGCTTCCTGACCTGACACTTCGCCTGAGAGATCTGTTAAACTCCAAATAAAAACTTTGTATCACAGATTCAAAGTTCTTTATTTGATGTTTTTTTGAAACACATCGCTGCCACGGGGCCTCACCCTTCACCGCCCTCTGTCGCTCAGTGCAAGGCAAGTGCATTTGGCGGTCCTTGGCTCTGCACGCGCCGTCTTAATGCGAAACCACTGTGCATCGCCTCCACGTGCTGCCACTAAACGCGTTACCGGCCGAAATTGTAGGTCGTGTGACAGAGGGGTGGAGGGGAAGACGATGTCCCTGGGCTGCGCTTGGCATTCGGCTATCTCCGGCTGCTATCGGGTTCCGTTCCGACGTGTAGGAGGTAAACATTAAGGCTCGTTCTCTCAGCTGCTAAGGCGGTTTGGTCGGATTTTGGTCATCATCCGCGGAGATATGGTTTGCGGACAATTGGTGTCTTTTGGAAAACATTTCATTTATATAGTCAGCACCTCCCAACGGGATTATGATGACGTCAGGGCCTTGTTGTCGTGTGAAATAAGTGAATTGTTGGCTGAAGAGTGGGCCATATCGAATTGGTAAGTCTATAACTGCAGAGCTGTAACAATACTGGTGTTTCCCAGTTATTTGTTGTTCCTTTATTTTGTCATTTTATGAAAGCGAATATGTTCTTCCAAGGTCTTTTCAATTTCATCTAGTATGCAGATATTTTAGGACAATGTATTGGTAAGTAATTTAGTGAATGTGTAAATTAAGTAGAAGTATATTTCGTTGTCCATTTTCGGTAATGTGCTAAATAAAAACACCTGGATTAGGATTTGTTATTGCACAAAAGGTGTATTTTAATTATATAATAGGTTTTTATAGCGTACTGCAATGAAATAATATAATATGTCACGCACGTAATTTCTATTCCAACCTGATGTATCCATGAAGTGAAAAACTGCTCATGCAAAGATACATTACATGTTATTTTTAATAAATCGCATAATTCCATGCCTTGACACGACAGTCTGTTGTCAGTGTCCTTCACTGACCAACCTCACGGGACTTGGTGCTGACACCGCTTAGTGCTGTTGGATCCATCAGCTTCTCCGAGATAGAGTCTTTGTCAAATGGATTTACAGCAGGATTGTACTAGCCCTGCACGGATATATTATCAAGCATTTTATAATTTGATAAGTTCGAAGGGACGGAAGACAGGGTTATATAAAGGAACGTTATCGTACACTGTGCGTGTTACAAAACACCTTCGCTTGTCGTTCGTTATCCCATTATAATGGTGCATTCTTCAATACAGCAATGAATGCCAAAAGTGAATGCGCAAAGAGGTCATTATGCGATATGAAAATTGAAAGATAAATTACGTATAACAAGCCATATATACGTAGCCCTTCTGCAGTTGAAAGTATTGAAGCTTGTAGAAATCGCTATGGTGGTGGGAGATTTAATTACCGAGCCCTAGTGCATAGTTACGAAGTGTACAGATCTGTTTATTTTCAGTGTCGGATTGCAAGAATTCTGATTTTTCTGTTCAGTGGCGGATTCTGTTTGGAAGAGTTTATCATCATCACCATCATCATCATGTTCTTATTCATCTTGCTTACGACAGGGTCCAGTTTGGAGGTCATTATGTACACGGAAATGAACTCTTGCGATGCATAAAAGGCGGGGGAATTTCATTATTCAGTATGCCACCACCAGCTTTTTAGCAAGGACCCTGGCCCTTAGTGTTCGTTATAGGATAGCAGACGAGATCATAGACCAGCCTGACATGTTCAGGGTAGGCCTAAATCAAATTGCTCATTTTCTTTACAAACGTCGTATGTCTGATTTTTATTTAATCCTGTTTACATATTTTTCACCCTGCGATTAAATGCATCTTGCCGGGATAGCGTAGTCAGTATAGTGACTGGCCAGGGGTTGGAGGGTGGAGGGGTTGGAATTCGAGTCCCGGTAGTGTCAAGAATTTTCTTCAAGTCGTCCAGACCGGTCTCCTATCCGTACCGGGGGCTCTTTCTTCGGGGGTGAAGCGGCCGGAGCGTTAAACTGACCACTTACCTCCAGCTAGTGCCGAGGTCAAGAAAATGTGGATATAGTATACATCCAGTCCCCCATACACCGTCATGGCGTAGTGCTTAATTCGTTAAGCACACGGGCAACTTTACCTTTTACGTGTAACTTCCACCGTCACGGGCTAGGCTTTCCGGCCTTTTCCGTTCACAGTTACTTCTGAAATTTGAAACTTATAGACAGTTGGTATACTCCTTCGGCGGGTGATCAGCCCGTCACAAGGTCGCTACCTACACAGGACAGCACAAACACAGAAGAAACGCGGACAGACATCCACGCCTCGAAAGGGATTCGAACGCACGATCTCTGTGTTTGAGCCGGCGAAGACATTTCATGCCTTAGATCGCACGGACTTTGGGATCGGCGTGATACGTATAACAATAATTGAAATACAATAGGAGCGTGTAATTTATGGGACCTGAAACATTTTTAGTTCTTGACACGTTGAAAGTTTGATGATTCGGACACGTCGAGTTTTTAAACAATGCCAACTGGGCGAGTTTTCACTTTCACTTTAGTCGAATATTTATTTTACGTTATCTCAATTTTGAATACTGGTTTTTGAATCTTATTGGAGGCCATACTGAATTATATATAACATGGTAGGTGAGGGAGTATTCCAGTAAGTGTTAAGATCATCAACTGCGTTGACGTTTGTTAAGCTTACTTAAAAATGGTAATTATGAAATGCAAATCAGTGAACGCCACCCCATATGAAATTAAAGAAAAATTCATGAAACGGTTTATGAAACATGAAAAAGTCCAGTTATGACTTTATGTAAATCAGGCCTTATTATGGATCATTATAACTGAAAATTGGAACCGTTCTTCGACTTCTTTCAGCCCATCTCGAATATGAAGAAAATCCATCCAGTGGTATAGGTGCTGATACTGGGTCACTGACGGATAGACATTCACCACATAACAAGACCAAAAAGAATGTTCACCAACAGAGTATCTTGGATTTAATTTGGGAGTTATTAAAAGCAAGCCGTCGTTGCTATGATTGTCGGTTCATTTTCCAAACAGAGAAAGTTGTCCCAAGCGGTAACGCTTCCAGCTGGTATGCGGCTGGTGCCTGGTTCGAATCGTAGCCGAGACATCAACTAGTCTGACAAATATTTCACTGGTTCTCTCAGTCCCACCAGGGAAATGTCAGGATAGTGCCTTAAATCAGGTAACGATCGCTCCCTCCCAGAATCCTTTAAAATTCATTACTTATTGTCATCTAGCAATTTCACTCTACATGGCCCCTGTTACTGACAATGTTGTTAAATAAACAACAGACACCTTCGTCGGCAGATCGTTACTTTGAACTACGTTGTTTTATACCGCAAACATTTCATTGTGGTGGGGGAAACACGTAAGCATCCCCATGTCACTAGTACGGCCTTGCTTTAAAGTAGGCTACAGAACTGCGAACCAGTAGAAAGCCTTGATTAAGGAACTTTGCACCCTATTTGGCGTTGTGGAACAGGTTTGCGAGAAAGCAGGGTCAGTTAGCTAACGACACATGACAATTATTTCTGCACCTCCATCCCTTCAAGTTTGTCAAAGTTCCCATAGGAACCCTATCAGTTCGCATTGTGGATAGTACACGTAAGTTTCGATGCCGAGGTTGTGTATTTTGTTTGCGCCAGTTACATTCTCCATTAACTTAACAGATAATAATAAAACAAAATTATCCGACATAATTTTTTCAGCTGAGAGGGGTTCCAACAGATGATAATAAAATAATCCGGGATAGTTCTTTCAGCTGGGAGGGTTTCGATACCCAACTGTGCCCCCCCCCCCGGGCTACCAACTCGAAGACCGGCTGTGAGACCCACCCAGTCAATTATCTGGTGTGTACCAGGATTGAAGCGACCAGAACAGGGAAGCGAGCCATGCCTGTCATTTGTTGCCCATCTTAACAGTGCGCTGAGCGTCAAGCGTACTCGATCACACGTCTTTGTCGCATGGTGCGTAGGCATAGGGACACTTTTAGCTCAGCAAGGCCTGTAAAGAATAATTGAACTGTAAAATATACCTTGTTAGCAGTGAAGGTAAAATAAAGCAATGCTAAATGGGTAACGTTAGTTAACCATTAAGCACCCAGGTCTCGTGACTACCGATTGCCCTTGGGGGGGGGGCAAAGGCAACTTTGAATGAGAATATATCGAAGAACTGCTGCGTGTATATAGGCCCTTTACGTAGTTTACATATAGACCACACGCAGTGGTAGTTTATTTGCGTGGTGTATTGTGGATGGGCGTAGGCTGTCAAGGAATTCTGACATTCTGACCGCCTGTGAATAATACTGTACTTCGTAAAATGAATTTCTCCGTGTTTTCATTACAGCATACCATCTGTTTGTATGATTATCAAATAATAGCCGTCGAAGTTCGCTTTCTAATGCTTCATATCCGAGACTATACGGTTTCTCAGAATATACTATACGGAATCCCCAAAGGGATCTGTGTTCTGATTTTAAATGCCCCTTTCCCAATAATTATTGGGAAATATAAATATCTTGCATTTCCATGTAGGAAATACAGTCACTTGAGTCAGCGGTTCGAATTTCTTCGGATGGCATATTTTTGTGTCTCATTGGACGCAACATAAAGGTTGTAGTTAATTCGCCGTCGTTGTATAATAGAAAGGAGGGCAAAAGAAATACTACGGGTGCCGTTTCTTGTTGCAGTAATGCGTAATAGTGGTCACGGTGGGACTTACTAGTCCATCACCGTTTGCTAGTTGACAGCAAAAAGTGAACAACTTTTGATTGTGGTATAGTGGTACTGTTTAAAGGTCCCTGGTTCAACTAGGAATATTGTTTCCTTTTTATATCATTATTTTAGCAAACTTTATAATGCAAGTTTTCACCCTGTCCACATTCAAGGATTCCATGTAACCACTGCATGGCGCGTCCTCTTGTTGGTTGGACGAGACGACCTCCAAATATGGAGGCTGTCTGCAAACATTAAACAAACAGTTGCGGACAGCTGACAATGTGTAGTCCTCCTCCTTGGGAGCTGGACGGGGACTAATTATGCCTCGCCGTGGATAACCAATATGTTGGGAAATGTTACAAGGACCTCGGACTTTGGCGGATTATTTGGATCGACCAAAATGACGGAAAATAGACGTGGTTCGGAAGTGTTTGTGTCAGGAGCCTCTGTATGTCAGTTAGTTGAAAACTGTAAAGTAAAAGTAAATGTATTCCTGCAGTAGGCCGTGGAGGCCCATAGGGTTGTGAGATAATCGGCTCATAGATGGCGGCAAGGCTGTCAGACCTACGCGCCAGCCGCCCTTTACTCCCAAGAATATTCCCAGTACTCATATCTGTTAGAGGCTGAGTCGACTCAGGGCCATAGTGCGGCTGTAGCAAGATTATTGGCAAATAATAAGTAAAATTTTGTGGCAATACGGGACAATAGTGTTATTTAACTAGCGGACGATTACACATTTTCTGTAGTAATGGATCAGCAGGTAAGAAGATAGATTTTGTTAGTGAAGGGACATC